AACCAAATGAAACTTTTTAGTTCCATATTTCTTTTCTATATAATCTATCCATCTTCTCCAAACCAGTATATATCTTTCTTGTGAATAATCCTTCACATAGGCTGAAATCTTAGCCATTTCTGCTAAATTTGAAACTTTAAATGCCCAATCCTCTATAGTAGGCAAACGATCCGTTTTCCAACATTGAGCTATTAATAACATTTTCTTATAAAAGTTAAAAGCCCTCGCTTTCTACGGATGCAAACACCTCTATGCTAAAAATGCTTAACTTGGAAATCTGACACCGCAGACGCTTCTGGTGAAGATATGGTGAGCTGGACATCCCTGAAGGAGCGGGGACGGCATTTATGATGGAGATGGGCAGCCAGATGCTGGATCATGGCCGGCGAAACCTTCCAGGGAAATTTGAGATTGTGAGATTGCCCATATGTACTCCAGACAGCTCCTTCTTGTGGAGTAGACCTCAGGAACCCAAGTTTTAGCAGCTGGCTTATGCGAGCAGCTGGGAGTCAAGGGAATCCATCTAAGCTCACAGTCTGATATAGCCTGTGTGGACACAGAGCTCAACCAAACCTCATTTCTTAATCACTTTTTGATTTATTATTTTTTACTGCTTACCAGATATTAAGAACTTTTGGAACAGTAATGTTTTATTACATCCACTGAGTGAGTCTCCTTCTCCTTGATAAAAGAAGTTTTAAGTATGAGTTTAAGAAAAATGGTTTTTTGGAATAAACAGCAAAAAGGTGTTTAGAGTATTGATTTTGGAAAGTTACAAACAGACTAAGGTTCCAGCTGGATTTGAAATGGACTTTGAAATTAATTATAAGAATCCTTCCCATGGGAAAATGCTTTTGTTTTGAATTCTTTTTTTTAAAAAAAATGATAGGATGGAATTAGAAGGTTGAACACTAGAGGAAATAGAAGGAACTAAAGATTATAACTAAAGGATAAGAACAATTAAATTTGACTTACTGGAATAAAATATTTTTAACATTTTTTTAACATTCGACATATTCTTGAACAAAGGACCAGAAATTAATGTTGAGGGTTATACTCATTAAGCAAGGTGCATATGTGATTGTCTCATTTAATAACCACAATCCCTGCTCTCCATGTAGCAGTCATTAAGCAAATGTGTAGGTTGGTTTGTGGAGCACAGGTTGTTAGTGGAGCATGGAATGCCAAAATCAAAGTTCTAATCACCCCTTTGCTGTTTATTTCAAAAGAAAAAAAAATTGAAATCCAAACTGTATTTGGTTTTCTACTGTATTTTATTTAATACAATTGTATTATGTTGTATTTTTTAAAAAAAAATCACTAAGGGTTGGAGGAAACTCACTTGGTGTTTTCAAACTTGTTAAATCGAGCATACCTAATAGCTGAAAAGCAGTTAATAAACAATTTCTGAAAGGGATTAGAAAAAGAAGCATGTGAACTCAGTACCCTTAAAGGCACTGTTGCTCCCTTGTCTCCCAGAGTTTAAGACTGGGACTGCTGTCTCGCAACCTGCTCATAAAGAACAAGTGTTTGGAGCACTTGTGGGCAATCTCAAGTCCTTTCCTTGTCCAGAGAGGAATTACGAATAGCTGATCTACTCACTGGTTCTTTATTCTGCCGGTTTTTTATTCTCCACTTTTAACTGAGCCTTCTCCAGTTCACCATTTTTCCCTTAGATGTCTACATTCCTGTTTTATTTCTGGGGCATATTGCAAGCCCATTTTGAATTTATTGTCCTATTTTAATTACTACAACCACATTTATGGTTGTTTGGACATGGGTTCAGTTGTACATCACATACTGCCTATACTTGGGATTTACGGAGATGTAAATGTCCACATTTGTGCTTGAGAAAAGTCAGATAAATAAGAGTATTAATTGGGACCTGCCCAGAGTTGATTAAAAGTTGGGCAGCTATATAATTTTTAAAAAATAAATAAATAAATTGGCTATGATGTAGAGGACAGTCAGGTCAATAAGAGCACTGAAAAATAAATACCTCAGGTTGGGACAAAGAAGCTATGGTCCTCCAGTTGTTAGCATCTTCCAACAGTTTTGGGCAATAACATGAAGGTGCTGGGAGATGAAAACATCTGGAGAGCCGGTCTCATGATTTTGGTTCAGACATATGCTTTGCCTTCATATCAGCGAAACATATTGCTATCAACTAAAAACTAACATTTAAAGGCTGAGAGTACCTCTTGCACCATGAATTATCCCAGGAGACTGTTGCTTAAGGTTACTCCTTACTTTCTGAGATACCTTAAGCTCTGCCATATTTTTAAATTTGATAATAAAATCAAATGAATTTTCTACAGATAGATGGATTCAAATATATGCTAATTTATCTCATACAGTACATGAATAATACTTTGCTTATCATATATTCACAAAGCAAAGCTTATAAGTAAAAAAAAACTTTAAAAAATTAAACTACTGCTTATGATTTTTTGTAGGGCTTCGACATGTCTCTGATGACCAGAAGACCCATAAAAATCCCGGTCTGCGTGCTCAAGGAGTACCGATTCAATCTCCTACCAAAACCTATACTTCTGAGTCTCCCAAAACACCTCCTCAAAAGAGTTACTCTCCTGTGTTAGAACTTGAAGGCAAGAAATGGAGAGTGGTAAGTTCAACTCACTTTTAGGTAACCTGGAAATTATCTTACAATTGATTGTAAGTGACTTGTCCATTGAATTGTTACCTAAGAATTGTTTGCTTGAATTTTTTGCAATAGGGTTAACAGTTTTATGTCCTAAGAATTTTAAATAAGCAATTGAAACATATTTTGGATTCAGCAGGTGGCAACATCTAACTAGCCTTGTCTGGGCTGAGAAGCTAAGCAGGGCTAGGACTGGTTAATACTTGGATGAGCAATCACCAAGAAATAGCAGGGCTGTAATTTAGATTGGAAAGTGTGCCAATCATATAGTAAATCTACTTTATATTTATTGTGAGACTTTGATTAAATTTTTACCAGGTAAGAAATAAGACATTTCTATATTTATACAGATTGCATTCTGGCTGAATGAAGAATGAGATGATTCCTTTTACATTTGCTAATAAAGGAAAAAACAATGAATAGTTACAACTCATTCTATTCTTCCTTATCAATCCTATGATAATAATATTATAGTCATGTCCGGAGATCCTAGTCTTTTCTCTGATGAAGGCTGAGACCTTCATCGGCTTCCCTCAGGATAAGCCTACAGAATTGATCTCATCTGGTGGGAGGGAGCCCTGTAAATACTGGTACTCAAATCTTCTTGGCTTTTATGGGTTACCAAAACACGAGCGCGATGCTGTATTTCTCAACTACTGTAATTTCCAAATTCTCTTGAAGAGCAGGGTCCTATTTCTTATCTTAAGAAATTTACAAAAAGGAGAAGAAAAGAATGATGCTGGATTTAGGAAATTCAGCCCAAAATTCAATGTTTGCTTATATCGTTAAGGGAAAAAGTGATGGCATTAACTTATTCTTGACTAAATTTCATTTCCAATATAAGTTGTTTCCTCACCTAAGGCCAAATGTTCACGATAGAATGCTCACTAAAAAAAATGACAAACACTATAATTTAGTTATTTTGCTCTCAAGGACTGCTAAGGGTTAAGGTTGGTCATTAGCCTATTTGAAAGTGATAGCAACCGTAGAGTGGAAACCTATTACTGAACTGAGATTTTGCTGCCAAATTTTAACTGTGTCCTGGAGGTATTGTGAGATCTGTAGTATGTATGTTGCAGGGAGGATATGAAGCAAATAGGTAATTGATTCATTCTTCTATGTTCTATTTTACATACAGATATTTAACTTGTATGATTTCCATTTTGAACCATATTTCTTTTTTAATACAGGTTATGTATTGCTGTTATATTTTTTTCATTTCACCTCTTTATATGTACAGTAACTCAAGGCAGTAAACATTCCTAATACTCCTGCCTCCTTTTCCCCCACAACAATCCTGTGAGGTGGGTTGGGCTGATAGAAAACATCTGGCCCAAAGTCACCCAGCGACTTTCATATCAATGGTGGGACTAGAATTCACAGTCTCCTGGTTTCTAGACCAGCACCCTAACGACTATACCAAAATGTCTCAAACATAGTGTTATGTCCTAACAATATTTACTGCTAAATTGGGAAATAAATAAAACAACTGTAGAATGTAATTGCAAGTTATGTTTTCCCTTCTACCCCACCTGCCTTTAGTCTCTCTTTAAACAGTAGAGATTGAGAGGAAAATGCAAATACTACTTTCTCATTAGCGCTAACAGCTAATATAAGATCAATTAAACTTTTTTTTAAATAATGCAGGAGTACCAGGTGGACAAGAATGACCTCTTAATTTCAGATGCTGAACTCAAGCAAGTAGCTTACATCTTCAAATGCAGTAAATCTACGTTACAGATAAAAGGAAAAGTTAATTCCATTACAATTGGTAAGTTCACTTCTAGAACAAGACTAAAGCTGAAATATTGTGCATATTTATCTTGAGCAAATCTTATGGTGCACAGCAGACCTTAATTCAAAATAAAGATGTTTAGGAATGCACTGTCCATTACAGTGTTCTGGGCAAGCATTCGTTTATTCTTCCAAATAAACAAGCATAGTGTAACACTGCTCAATTCTGCAAAGGGGTTTATAGCTGAATATAAGGTTTTAATATAGTTTTGTTGACATCTATAGGGATAACCATATAAATAAAACTATTCACAGATATTTGCAAGAGGTGGCAAATAAATGCCTTCTCATATGAAAAACAATATAACTGTATAAACTCTCTATATGACTCTTTTCTTTTCTTTTTCAGACAACTGTAAAAAGTTTGGCCTTGTATTTGACAATGTTGTTGGTATTGTTGAAGTAATAAATTCCAAGGACATTCAGATACAGGTAAATCCATCCTCATATAACACTAGTATGGGAAAACAAATCCAAAACAGAAAAAAGCACTAGTCAGTTGTAAGAAGATCTATCTACCCATCTTTATGAAATTGGTATTTTGAGTGGCAGAGATAAATTAAGGAAACTGGATAAAGGGAAAGAGTCCCCCACATTAACTGAGCTTGGACTGACTGCAATCAATCACTGCCTTATTAAAAACATTGCTTTTAATTATTGGTATCCCATAGTTCAAAGAATTTCTCTCATGTTACAGAATGTCCTGTTTTTTCTCTTCTGAGGCAGATTAAAATAATTACACACAGGCCAGTATGAGCTTCAGAGTTAGGGAATAGCCTCTTGGGGAGATAAATGATTTATTTAGTTTTGATTTCTGATTTTACGATCTTAGGTACTTGGGAAAGTGCCAACCATTTCAGTGAACAAAACTGAAGGCTGTCATATATACCTCAGTGAGGAATCATTAGATTGTGAGATTGTGAGTGCTAAGTCATCTGAAACAAACATCCTGATACCACTGGATGGCGATTATGTAAGTACCACATTTTGGTCTGATACAAAACACTGAAGCATACGCTGAATCCTTAGTGTATCACTGATATTTATTTTGTCTTGAAAAAGATTTTTGGAACAGCAAGTATAGTCCTTAGAAATTTGGTTTGTATGACCACAAATAGTGTTTTTTGTAGCAAATAGACCATCTTGTGTTACATAGGAATGTGGACAGTTTTACCTTCAAAAAGCTTTTGTGTTGTTGTTGTTGTTGTTTAGATTTTTTTATCTTTTTTATTATTTTTATAAATAACTCAAGATGGCAAACATACTTAATACTTCTTCCTCCTCTTATTTTCCCAAAATCATCCAGTCAGCTTTCATGCCTAACGCAGAACTCAGAGTCTTCTGGTTTCTAGGCTGATACCTTGACCACAAGATCAAACTCTTTTTACTAGACCAAATTTGCTGTGGATGTGTTAATGTTTATGTTTATGATGGATATTTTATTATTTTACACCACTATATATACCATGGACATTTTCAGTGCTCTAAGCAGTCATGAGTCAAAATGAAATTGGCAGCATGCATATTTGGTAAATAAATAAAATGAAGCATTTCCCTAAAAGTCTTTAATATGGGATTTAACTCTTCTAATCCTGTTAAGTTTGCATGACAGAGTGATTTATATATGATATGCTTAACTGTTCGACAGAGAAAGCAGTTAACGTATACAAACGTTGGCTAAGTGTTTAAGTCAAGGAATGTAGACAAATTATTTCGCTCCACAGGATCTTGGATTTGTTGGGCGACAAAATAATTGATTCAATCAGTGCTGCTTACTAAACAACTATTGGACGGCGATGGCTAATTCATTCCTCAGCCTTGTGTGACAGAAACTACGGTCAAGAAAGTCCAGTACCTCTTACTGTAGTTATTTTGGTTTTCATCCCTGTGTATTCACAAGGGAGAGATGGGAAAGAGACATAAATTGGGGTGGGTGGTTATTCATTATGCTATGGTAGAATTGGGTTTTTTTTGCTATTTTTCACTCTTCTAAAAGGAGGAAGAAGAAAAACTGCTAGCTTCCCTGATCGCTTTGCAACTACTGGAAGACCCTAACAGGGCTTCTAGAGAACCAAATAGGAGATTTACAGTTATGTCTTGATGGTTATTTACCTCTTTCAAAATCAATGTGCATTAGTTGCTAGAAAGGAGGGTTGTTGCCCTCTAGTGAATGTCCTGAATCCATCAGGTTGGATGTTGTGTGACATAGTTTTTTTTTCTCCTACGTTCTTGCTGTGAAATTAGACAAAGCACTACCTGCACATGCTGGATACATGAGGGACCCACTTCTTTTTCAACTGCTGTATTGAGCAATATACATAGAACTTATCCCAGCAACCTTTTTTTAAATCAGTGTACCCTGTTTTATGCATTTGCACATTCAAACAGTGATGATTTTTATGATTGCACTGTGCAGAAATATGTATCCAGAGCAAAGTATATATGGAATTCCCAAATTGACTGTCATGTCTCATAAATGCAGAGAATTTAAGGGGATGGAAACATCTGCAGAAATGTTAAAACATTGCATAATGTAGATGACAAAAGACAAAGAAATGATAAACTGAGCAGTTCTGGACCATGGTGGTCAACCTTATTCATGTGCAGCAGCATACAGAAGTGAAATTCTTACAAAATCAAGAGGTAACCATTAGAAAGTGGTACATAAAGTGTAAAGAAACTATACATTTTTTGAGCCAGTATCTCTGAAGCCGATGTATTTAGTAATATATTCTGTGTATTATACGTGATTGATCATAGCATAGTGAAGTAATCACCTCAATGTAAAACACTTTTGGGGGCAGCTCTCTGTTTGAAGTCCCATCTTGTGGAACAGCTTATTTCTGGAAATGAGAGCAGCTCTCTCCCCTTTACTATACTAGAAATTAGAGAAAAAAAACTGGTTGTTCTGCAGGGCCCTTTAGAATTGAGGAGTTGAAAATTGTGGGTATGCTTATTTTAGGATGTGTATTAAAATGTTGAAATTGAATTTGTATTGTTGCTATTGTTGTTACATAATGTGACAGCAATCTTTTATTATGGGATGTGTAAGCTGCCTGCATTTGCTAGATGGAAGTAGCATAAAACTAACAGTATAAATAACTACATTGTGTATCCAATGTTGAAGAGCTGTGTATGTCATATAATCCATCTAGGCCTCTTAAACTAGCTTGCTGCCACAGATATGGTACACCCCTTTTATCTGGGACGGTCTTCTTCTTCTACCAATCGCGCAGCTTTGGGAGGGACGCACATGGAGCAGTGAGGGAGGAAGGGGGCGCCTGCCTATCCAGCCAGATCAGCCGAATCAACCCTGGCGATCAATGGGGTGACAGATGTTGCAGCCAGATCGCCCTCATATCCAATATGGTAAAATAAGTTTTTCCATCCTGATATTGTCCATCTTGCCTCCTTACAGAAAGAATTCCCTGTTCCTGAACAGTTTAAGACATCATGGGATGGATCCAAATTGGTTACTGACCCTACAGAAATTGTGGGTTAGTTTCCACAGGCCACACAGAAACTGCTGACCACGCTTTCCAAGGAAAGTCTGCCAGAAGAAAGTAACAGCACGAAGAACAAAAAAGTAGCACTAGTTTGCACCATGGGTGTCTCCAACGGGGGGGGGGGCATTTGGGGCAAATGATTACACATGCAGATGACATTATCATGCAAATACTACAAACCATCTGCTTATGTCAGAAGGTAGGATGCAAATATATTATTGAAGCATTGGCATGATGTCATTAGGCGTGTGATTTCTTGACATTACTGCATTTGCTGTCAATGCCAATAGTTTATTATTGCAGTTAATAGATCTTTAAGAAGCTATTCTGTGGCCTAAAATCAGTTGCTTTACATACAGTATTTTTTCCGCATGGAGGTAATCATTGGAGGAAAAGATATATATATATATATATAATGAAATGCATAATTATATTTCAAGAAAACATGGCATTCTGCAGTGATTACACATGCCAGGAAATCATTCTATTCAATCTGTACACTTTTTGTAAGTACCTGACATTTTCTACTCACGGTATCACATGAATGTATAAAGATGCGAGCGTTAAGCCAATGGCTGTTTCATACAGTAAGCCAAATTAATTCATCATGCATGTTATATTTTGTAATATTTCAGTGCATTCCTTTTAATGATTGGCGGGCAAAAAACCAATAACAAATAATATGTTAAAATATTTTACTTCATGGAATTGAGATCATGTACTATATATAGCTGGATCTCAAGAAATCTGTAGTTTTTAATGTTTTTTAGAAGTACCAACTCTGTGGAGAATATTTGCTAATGGAAAAGAAAGCAAGCCAGATGTTTTAATTATATTTCAGTTATATTCTTCTAGTATCTATCTCCTATTTTTTAGCATTCTGGAGGCTGACAGTGGAGCACCTGCAAGGGCTCTATCACATGCAGTTCACACTGATCTCCACTTTAAAATAAATACCCAAAGTCTAGTGATATCAAATGTTCCACTTCTCTCTTCTTGGCTATTTATTATTATTATGGCTGGTCACAAAGTCAGCCAGTTGTTTCAGTTAGATTTAGCATTTTTATACACTTACAGAATTCTTCCCAAGGACCTGGGATAAACAGATACTGTTTGATGATGTTAGAGGTATCGTCGCAGGAGGTAACTGTTTCAAGTAAAGCTGCTTTTTTATAATTGACTGATAAGTGATTTTGTCAATGCTGATGGTGTTCAAGAGGTGTTCCAGATGTTTTGGGATTGCACCCAAGGAGTCTTATTACTATTGGTACTATTTTTGCTTTCTTTTGCCAGTAGTTTTATTTATTGTTTGTAACCACTGCTTAAAAAGCTATTGACCTGTTTGCTGAACTTTTAACTTTGATCACTTATATTTCAGCTTACCTCGGGGTCCCATCTCCAGAAACTGTTAGAGTTTTCTTTCAAAATTTTAGGATTGTTATTCCAAAATGTAATATTAATCTTTGCTGAATTTCATGTGACTATCTCCTGCCACGAGACCTTTCAGTAAATAATAGCAAATTTATAAAACAACCTTTGAAAGCAAGGGATTCTGCAATAAATAAATATAAATTCAAATTCAGCAGCTTCTAGTTTAAAAAAAAGTATTAGTGATTTACTTTTGTTCAAAGAAGTAGGTGGAGTTGTAGATCTGTTTTTATTTCTAATGGTAAAATTTGCATGCAAATCTTTGAAGAGTCTTTTTCTCCATAACTTCTGAACTCAAACTGAAGAAATTGTATTTTTAGGGATATAAGCTTGATTTCTAAATCTACATTGTTAATTTTTAACACTGATGTGACATGTATGATTTCTGTGCACAGTACTTAACTCTGCTACTGTATGTATCATTGGTTACTTAATAGCAAATTTTTGCAAATAGCAAAATAGTAATAGGCTTACAAAACTACAGCAGGACCTATATTGTAACTATTGCAACCAACATTTTTAAGTGCAATATCTATTTAGTGTTACAGTAAATAAATTTTTGGTATTTGTTTAATCAATATGTATAATGTTGTGAGTTTAGTACATGCCAATTTCAGTTGTAAACGTCTGGCATGAATAAACATAAAATTGCAGTTTCTTTACACTGTAGAACATACGTTTTATTACACTATGTTAAGCCAGCTATTCAGCAACATATAGGAAAACATTGTCATATCCACATTAATATGTAGGAAAGACCACACACAGCACTCAAACGGAAATGAATACATTTAGTTTCCCCTATGTTTAGTTCTGTTATGTTTTCATGTTTTGTAAAAATATTTCTATAATATGGGTATTAGAACATGAAAAAAATCACGATGCACAGAACAACATGGGTCATGGAAAAGCTATCAGAAGTGGCAAATAGTTTGAGGTGCTAGTCTAAAAACATTTTAAAGATTTTTTAGTCCACTGTTTTATTTATGTCCAGCTTCCTGCTCTAGTCCTGCTATATTGCCTCATCATGGTATTTCTGGAGGGTGTGAGTGAAGAACACAACTATATATAATCCTAGCAAGTTCCAGATCACTAAAGTTGTCCCAGCTGCCCAGATAAAGCAGGCAAATATCTGTATTGGGCAGCAGTGATGTAGGAAAATTCTAGAGGTGGATGACTCTAGTGACAATGGCAAAAGCATTTCATACTGTGTAAGAGAAAGTACAGTGAATCACTTGTTATTTAACCGAGAAAGCCATACAAATAGATAATATACAGCTAGTCCTCAACCATTTGTTCAGCAATCATTTGAAGTTATGACAGCACTGAACAAATGGTTACAACCAGTCTTCAGAGTTCGGGCTGTCCCAGCACCCACCCAGTCATGTGATTGTGATCTGGACAATTGGCAAGTAGCATTTATAACCAGTTGCAGTGTCCTATGATCACCATTTGCAACCTTTCTTGCCAGCTTCCCCTAAAAGTCAGTGAGGAAGCCAGGAGGGAAGATCCTAAGTTGCTGGGCTAAGTCTCACATGCACACCTTCCCAGCTACTCTGTGCTCATGCCATGCTAGCTATTCATATACCCCTGCACAGCCACGGTGTGGATCCACCACACACCATTATTGAATCTCTTTGACCCACCCCACACCATTGTTGACCCTTCTTGCCTACGTCTCTTGTGCTCCCAACCCAACCTGCACGTTTGCACCACCCAGTTTACACACACACACCCATACTGCTCCCTCCTCCTCTCGGCTGGAACTGCTTACCTGCCTGCGGGCTGGGTACTTGCAACTTTCTGCCAGCTTCCCCACTTGGTTGTTTGATGCTGGCAGAAAGTTGCCTTGCCTAACCACTGTGGAGATTCAGTTAATGATGACAACTATGGCTGCAGGGATTGCCAAAGCTAAATGAAGCGGTTGCATTTTATGATGGAAATTCCAGTCTCAATTGCTGTCGCAACTCACCGGACTACCAGTAAAGTGATGGATGATACAACGCTGGTGATCAGCTAAAGTTGGAAACCCCTCAATATGCTACTGAAGAAAAGCCGAGGATCTTTCAAAGTATCAATGGTAATTAAGAGTAAAACCTCCAGAACATCTGATTGCTGATGCTGCTATGCAGGTAAAAAAATGGAAAATTGCAAAGATAGAATTTCTGTGAGAATATGGGAGAGTGAAACAGAGTGAAAGATGAAATGAATCTACTCCATTTTTGACATCTTAGGCAACAGGGAATTGGAATATACTAGGACTGGCCATTGTTAGCAGATGATACCATGTATTTACTACTCAGGACACAAGAAACAAGGAATTGTATTGTTTTTACATTCAGGAAGGATACAGCAAGGACAATACTTAAAAAGTATAACCAGTGACCAATTAGATTGGAGCAGTCTAATTGGAACAGGAACAGTCTCTCACTACAATTATCCAAGTTTTGCTTAAAGAAAAAAACTGTCTACATTTTTGGTTGACTGGAAAACCTTTATAGATTTTTTACATAAAATGGGGAAAATGTACTTAGGATTTTGGGTTTCAATAATTAGAAAAAAGCTGGATAATAGAAAAAGGGCGAACTTTCTTTTTATAATCATAAACAATTAATTTGTAATCATACTTGGATTTGCTGCAAAGGAAATCTGAAGCTTCCTTTTTTCTTCTTTCTGCACTTATCTTTTCCTCTTCTGTTTTTTTCTTTTATTAGTTTGTATTAGTTTGACCGAAGACATTTGTGAGTAGCTTAATAGATACTTCAGTGGGAAAGTAACAGCATTCTGTGTGCCCTTGGCGTATAGGCATGCTGGCCACATGAACTCAAAAATGTCTTTGATCAATGCAGGCTCCCTCAGCCAAGAAGTAAAGGTGAGCACCATGCCCTAGAGCAGGGCTTTTCAACCAATGGTACGGGTACCACCTGTGGTACATTGGGACCTGGCAGGTAGTACGCGACGATCCTAGAAAAGTGGGAGGGGGAGGAGAATGAACTGAACCGGTGGCAGCACCACACAAGCCTGAGCAAGAGATGGTTGGAGCTCCAGGACTGTCAGGGCTCAGTGGAAGCGCCAGGATCAGCGCCAGGCTCCAGCTGGAGCTCGGCGCTGATCCTGGCGCTTCTGCTGAGCCCAGAAGAAGCGTTGATCAGCTGGAATGTTGCAGCATCTCCAGGGTCTTGTGATTTACATTCAGATGCTTGGCAACTGATTCATATTTATGACGGTCACAGTGTCCCAGGGTCATGTGAAGTAACCAAAACCTGCTGCAACCACCCAGCAGACGGGGAATAAAAACCAAACACCCCCCACCCCACCCCCGCTGCCAATCCTCAACAGAAATGCTCACAACAATGAAAACCTCGGACAGGAGGAAGAACGCCACCAGGTGGGCAGGCAGGTGTCTTGCTTGGCTGTGCCTTGGGACTTTTTCAGTGCCATCGTAACTTCGAACAGTCACTAAGCGAACTGTTGTAAGTCGAGGACTACCTGTACTTTATCATTTTTTTCCTTTTTTGGGGGGTCACCAAGTTTTTGACACTAGGCGACTGGTGGTACTCGGATATTGCCATATCCTAAAAGTGGTACAATGGGTGAAAAGGTTGAAAAGCCCTGCCCTAGAGTCAGACACAACTGGGTAGGGCACCCTTTGCCTTTTTTATATATATGGATATCATCAGATGAAGTATACAG